GCGTGTTTTTTCATTTTCTGTATATTTTGCCAAAAGAGAGCGGCAAGTATGTTTCTACTCAAACAAACCCATTTTCACATGAATTCAGTGACGCGATTGTGTGCCCTGTGAACTACAGGCGTTTAAATAATAAAGGCTGCTTAAATAGCCCCCCCCTCCTAGGTGGGTGGAGGGGCATGCATTACTGCGATACGTTATAGTGTAATTACTACCATGCCTCCCATATTGCCGCAGTGTCGCCATAAAGTTAACAACTTTAAAGTTTTCGCCATGTAAATCCGGTATCGGCAGTTAAAAAATTAACAAGGGAAGTGCTTTATTCCAGTCATCATAAGTTGCGCTGAATTTTCACAGTGTACATGAATGATATAGCACAGAAAAATTCCACACCTTTAAGTTCAATGAAATGCGGAGCTCCAAACGATTCAAAGGAGAATGGAAGTGTGGAGTAATCGCGCCTATGTTTAGGGATGGGCGGGGTGACCTAGTGTTTCAGTTATCGTGGTATCGCACCACTGTCCACTCTCAAGAAACGGTTCTCCTGAACTATTCCGGAATTTCTGAGGCAGCCAGTTGACAAGAGACTTCACCCTAGCCAAACAGGCTTCCGGATAGAGCACTCCTGCTCCAACCAAATTTTCACTTTGCGTAGGATCAATGACGACAACTCCTGTACCTTGGTTTGCCAGTTTCCACGACATAAAGCCAAAAACTTGTTTTTGTGATCTGAGAGAGGCAAATCGAAAGGGAAACCAAATGACAGACCTAGAGGTGAAAAGTGCAAATATCTGGGAGTCATTATTTGCAAGAACGGTGCTATTCAACCAGAATTAAGTACGAGTATCAGCAGTGCTTCAGATGCTTTTCGTAACCTGCCAAACGTTTTCGCAGAGAAACAAGTATCCCTTTTAGCAAAATTACCCCTGTGCATCGGTCAGGTGAGTGCCATAATACCATAAGGAGACCTCCGTTCTAACGAAAGACCGAAAAGATCACTGAACAATGTACTACTACGCTGAATTAGGCGCATAATAAGAGTCAAATGGCGGAGGACTACGACAACAATGATGATGTAAGGCTTCAACAATTTTTAAAGCGCAAACGTAGCCAGGTAATTAATACAAGAAAAGAAAAAAGCAATCACACCTATATCCGTACGTAAGTAACGCGTGGATGAGTTTATAACGGGAAGGTATAAGCACAGCAAAACATACGGATAAGGAAATATTGCTTTCGCTTGGTTTCGTTTTTCCTGTCATATTTGAAGCACCTCGCACCCGGTGTCGAGACAGACATATCGCATTTTTCAGACCATTGATAGGAACCACCGGTTACCCATCCACTTTGTTCTGCAACAGCCACCAGTGCGACGCCACCTGCCTTGATAACTAGCAAGACACCGAGTCTCAAGGAACGGTGGTAAGATGGATGCTAGCTGTCCATAACAAAGACCTAATCTCCAACAAGACCACAGAATTAACTGGCATGGACTTGAACCTCCAAGAATGGTCGAGATTAAAGAGGATTCGAAGAGGACAAAGGCGCTGTGGACACCTACTCCATCGCTGCAAGATGAAGTCCAGCCCGAAGTGTGACTGCGGTCATGAAAATCAGACCACGCAGCATATTACCTCCGAATGCCCGCTGCGAAAGTTCGACGGCAGCATAACAGACCAGAATACTAACGCGGCGGCCATTCACTGGCTTAGAAGTTTGACATGTAACTATAAATTTGCTAGTCCTCTCCTCCAGCCATACGATAGAGGAATCGTCGCTTGCTGAAGAAAAACAAATTCTACAGCAAATCATGCAACTAACCTTCACAGAAAAACATATCCCACACACGAAGCACCGTCGGCCAAGGCAGGGTGCGACAGAATATGCACATAAACCACTCTACCATGTAAAACACTGGGTCAACGTTTTGCTTCTTCTAAAACAAGCCTCATAGAATCTTCACCATATTACTATAAGTGACAGCTAACCAAATGTCTGTATGTGGAATAGGAATGTCGTCTGAGAAGGCTGAAGAGAATATCGCCGTCCATCTGAATCGCTTTCTAAACAAAACAACGCTATATTCGCAATGCCTCGACAACAAAACTGTATCTACCAGCCCAGGGCTGTAGTATCCGGGAAGGTACTTTTCACAAATCTGAATAAAGCAGTAAAAAGCTTCCTCGACCGGCATCTGCATCAGCAAGGTTGCAGCGACTGGCGCTTGACCTTGGCAGTAACCTTCTTCAGGGTGCAGCAATGTCCAGGCCTTCAGCAGTCGAAAAAGTTCCTTTTGGCTAAAACCTTTGTCTTAAAATTCACATCATACGATTAGCAGGGCAATAATATTTTCAAGCTGCCAGATCTAATTAGAACAAGGTTGCTTGATTTGATTTCATAGTTAACAGCAGATAAACAACAAAACATTCTCTATTAAAACAAGGTTTCAACCGAATGATCCACCGCAAGTATGTAAGGTACGGAATAATTAAGCATCTACATACTGATACAATTAATATCTGTTTGCACTAACTAGCAGAATGTTGTTGTTTCAGTTCAGAAGGCAATCATTCACCTAGGATGTCGCAGAAATGTCGTGATCCAACATAGCGATTATCAAAAGTTGAATTTCGATTGAGCTGTTATGCGAGGAAACGTTTCAGGCTTACAGCTTCTGTGACCGAATACGTGAAAATTATGTTCGGCTAACTTTCATGGGCCGCTCGTCAGACTCAGAATCGATAGGTTTTGAATTCGAGCCCCGTCTGGTTGCTGCAGTTCTTCCTTCCGAGGAAGGATCACTTAACGGAGATTACACGTCGCAAAGGCGAGCACTCTTAATACCGCACGGAAAAAAGATTAGCGCCGTTCCATATACTCAGTGAAAAGAAAATGCTACAAATGGCGCCCAATTATGAAGAAAATGGTGTAAAGGAGATCGACACTTGAATGGTTCGATTCCGTTTTATCGTACATAAGTAGTACCTATACTGGGTCACAAATTAAAATAGAGACGACAGCTTATGCATCAGCTGGTATTCTCCTTGAACCCTGCACGACAGAGAGGTTGTGAAAAGTCACACGCTCAGTAGCCTCAGATCACGGCAAAAGAACTGAAAAAGTTTAAATATACAGGAAAGCAAAATTTTATAACCATTAGAACATCGGTCTCTTGCAGCTGCGTTCACTTCCTGCGGCACTCGCTGCGGTGTCCGCTTCGATCATCACTCTTCGCCTCAATGCCATCAGTCCGACGTGCATCTTTTTCCAAGCCTCTATCGATGGCGACTCAAGCGTTAGGACTCCTGCTTCATTTCCACATAGAGCTTATACTCACCCACGTCGTACTCACTACATCGGCATAATGACGGTCGAAGGTCCAAGCTGGCATTTGAACTGCACATTTTACGACTATGAGTCTCACCCCCTGCCAAAT